ATAATCAGATAGAACTGTTAAACAAAGGAATTAAAATGTATACAAAAAAGTATTATAACAATTGCTTTAATATTATTAGTAATAGAAAGGCAAACATTATAATACTTTCTCATTTGCCGTCAGCATTCAACAAACACGCATTTATATCATTTAAACAAATCTTTGAATGACTAATGAACATTTAATTTCACAAACCTTGCAGACTTAGTCAAATCTAGTTGATATCTTGTGAAGTGTGCATGTGTATCCTGCATGATCGCGTGTTCTCTGTGACGGTCGGTCCGTGCAAATTGAATGCTGACAGGAGAAGAGTTCAGCTTCACTGGAGACGTGCGATCGACGTGATTTCAAATTATGCTGCGCTTTATGCATTTGTCCACTGTCATATTCATGTCATTTTCATTGCATGCTATATGTAAAATGAGTGTTACCTTGGCTTTATTTAAAAAAATAAAAATAAATGATTCACACAAACTTCCCAGAATACTGAGTGCCCCGTTGGTTACCGTGTTTACTTCCTTTTTAATTAGATTTTTATTAAATATTTGTCTCTCTCTCTCTCTCTCTCTCTCTCTCATTCAGCTCACCTTCAACAATGAACTGTTACAATTATACACTTATTTTCACATAGTCATGAGAAGCGTTAAACATACTATTTTAAATCCATTTTCAAATAATTTCAAATTTCTTAAATATAAATTAAAATAAATAAAATTATATCGGATTTATATCGGCCATCGGCCACCCTGCTTTACAAGATATCGGCACCGGCTGTCAAAAAATCCATATCGGTCGACCACTAGTTGAATATGCTGCAAATAATGACTCTAATAACAGTTTCCTTTCTCTTTGCCTGCAGGAGTATGTTCTGTCACACACAGAGATGCCCTCCAGCCTACAAGGGGCAGTGGAGGACATCAAGAAACATGAAGACTTCCTCACCACCATGGATGCCAATGAAGAAAAGATCAACGGCGTGGTTCAATAATATCCTCTGCTTCTCAATCGGGCTCAAACTGATAAGCGATATTAATGATGCAGTTGTTTACAATACAGCCGGAGCACATGCCGCCGAGGTGTGGGGCGGGACGTTTAGACGCACGCTAGAGGTTGAATATGCTGCAAATAATGACTCTAATAGCAGTTTCCTTTCTCTTTGCCTGCAGGAGTATGTTCTGTCACACACAGAGATGCCCTCCAGCCTACAAGGGGCAGTGGAGGACATCAAGAAACATGAAGACTTCCTCACCACCATGGATGCCAATGAAGAAAAGATCAACGGCGTGGTTGAGTCTGGACGGAGACTAATTTCAGATGGCAACACCTATGCAGACAAGATCCAAGAGAAGACAGACTCCATTCAGGAGAGGTAAGCAGAAACAGAACGGCATGCTTAGAAGTAGAGGTGGGAGAAGTAGAAGAAATACATTTTTGTATCAGTAAGATTCTTTTAAAAATAAATTTTCTACAAAAATATCAATCAGGACAACTGTTTTCAACATTGATAAGAAGAAATCTTTCTCGGGCACCGAATCAGCATATTATGATTTCTGATGATTTTCATGATAAGGATCATGTGACACAAGACTGGAGTAATGGCTGAAAAATCACCTTGCTATCATAGTAATAAATACATTTTAAAATATATGAAGTTAATTATAATATTTCACAATATTACTGTTTTTGCTGTATTTGTGATAAATGCAGCCTTGGTTTAGCATAAGAGACTTCTTTTATAAACAATTTAAAAAACAATCTTACCAACCACAAACTTCTGAACGGTAGTGAATATACTACTCAGTCATTTCAAAATGCCAAGTAAGAAGCTGCACTATATTGGAAATGTGCAGTATTCATCACTATCCTGGCAATGATCTACATTGATGATGTGCTGGCAGCAAACCCATTAAATCCATTACAGATAACATCATGTTTTTCATCTCCTGTTCTCTTTTGGTTTCCTTCAGGCACCAGAAGAACAAACAAGCTGCCAATGAGCTGCTGGCTAAACTGAAGGACAACAGAGAGCTGCAGCACTTCCTACAGGATGGACAAGAGGTAATAAAGTACAGAGCAAACAAGACTACATATATCCATTATACTGACTGCACTATGAGACAAAGTCCTTCTGACTGGCATTATGAAAGATAATGCACTCTCATATAAATGACTCCAGTAAACCACAGCACCACCTACAGGATGAAGCCAGTGATGATACATTCAGACTTTTGTGTGATTTTAATAAGTCTTCTTTTCCTTGCCTGTCTCTTTAGCTGACTTTGTGGATAAATGAGAAAATGTTGACGGCTCAGGACATGTCCTATGATGAGGCTAGAAACCTCCACAGCAAGTGGCAGAAGCACCAGGCCTTCATGGCTGAGCTAGCCTCCAATAAAGACTGGCTGGACAAGATTGACAAGGTATATTCCCACGCACATCTCTTCCAGTGATTTTGGATATCTGATGTACCAATACAAGTTTTGAAATGGTGAAAATTCAAAAATAAATTGTGGAAAAGTCATGGAAATGCTCAACTCTGATATATTTAATTTGCTAGAAATGTCTCTTTTTGTGGAAAGTCTGGAAAGGCCATGGAAATTCTGTGGTCAAAAATTGTGGGATTCCTGGAATATGTGTAAATATCTAGGATTCATAGCTTACTCAGTGCCATACTAAATAAACAAAAAACAAGGCATGTGAACTCGTAAGCAGAACAGCATAAATCAAAACTACTACAGTGACTTTCTCTCTTTTTCTTGTTCTCGTAGGAGGGTCAGGTGTTAGTAAAGGAGAAGCCTGAGCTGGAGCAGACGGTATCAGAGACTATGAGCAGCCTGCAGAAGCAGTGGGAGGAGCTTGAGAGCACCACTCAAGCCAAAGCTCAGTGTCTGTTTGATGCGAACCGAGCTGAACTTTTCACGCAAAGCTGCTCGGCGCTGGACTCCTGGCTCCAGAACATCTCCTCTCAAATCCAAAGCGATGACTTTGGAAAAGATCTCACCAGTGTCAACATCTTGCTCAAGAAACACCAGGTAAATCCAAAGCCAAATAGAAAGATCGTTACTCGAGATATTCACAGATCACTTTATTGTGAAAGTCCCAGGAAAAAATGTGAAATGTATTTTATTCTGTGTAAGCAGACAAGTTTTAAACCTAATGACCCCCTATGTGACCCTGTACCTGTGCGTGTCTCAGATGCTGGAGCATCAGATGGAGGTGCGTGAGAAAGAGGTCCAGTCTCTGCAGTCACAGGCTCTGGCCTTGGCCCAAGATGATTCTGGGATAGTGGAGGTGGATGGGCAGCAGAGAAGGGTGACAGACAACTTCTCTAAACTGCAGGACCCTCTAAGACAGCGGAGGCAGCATCTTCTTGCTTCAAAAGAGGCTCATCAGTTCAACAGAGACCTTGAGGATGAAATTGTGAGTCACATTAAAAACTATTACACTGTATAATAATATTAAAAAAAAAAAGATTTTTCAAAGTTATAAAAGATTGGGTACATGTTACAAAGAAAATGCTTTCTCAGTCTTTCTACTTTAAAATTTTGTTTAATTTAATGTGTTAATTGATGTTTCTTTGTAATATTTGTGATACATATGAGCAATATTCATTTGGAAAAATGCTTAAAGTTTTTAGAGTAATTATGTTTTTGTCTAAAGTTATGGGTAAAGGAGAGGATGCCTCTCGCCACGTCCACAGACCATGGTAAAGATCTTCCCAGTGTCCAGCTACTCATCAAAAAGAATCAGGTAATCAGTCGCTCAATCAATGTTTTGAAAGTTATAAAAAAGTGTTTAATTTTTTTTTAAATCTCAATAAATTTTCCACATTCTTTTTCACTGTCTGACTGATTTTTCATCTCCCCCAGACTCTGCAGAAAGAGATTCAGGGTCATCAGCCACGTATCGATGACATCCAGGCTCATGGTACGAACATGTCCCCTGAGAAGGAGTCAGAGATGGACAGGGAGAGGAGAGCTGATCTTAATGGGCGTCTGGTGGAGCTGAGGGAATTGTGGGCCCTTTTGATTTCTGAGACCGAGAAGAGGAACTTGAGGCTAGAAGAGGCTAACCGTGCGCAGCAGTTTTACGCAGATGCTGCAGAGGCTGAGGCCTGGATGGGAGAACAAGAGCTTCATATGATGTCAGAGGAAAAGGCGAAGGTCAGTGAAATTGTACTTTGTATGTATTTGTAGCAACTATTCAAAGAGCTAGTTCATGTTACATTTCTGATGAGTTTACTTGATGTTTCTGATGTGTTTACGTATTCAGTGTTTAAAGTTTTTATAATGGTTGTTGTAGGATGAGCAGAGTGCTTTGGTGATGGTGAAGAAACACCAGATTCTGGAGCAGGCTCTAGAGGACTATGCTCAGACCATCCACCAGCTGGCCAATAGCAGCAGACTTATGGTGAATAGTGAACACCCAGAGAGGTGAGGGGCATAGTAGGATCTCTGGACTGTCAGATAAAGCATTTGACATTAAGTAAAAATCCATTTTCTTTCTCCCTTTTGTAGTGAAAGAATCACTCTGAGGCAGGCCCAGGTGGATAAACTGTACGCAGGGTTGAAGGATCTGGCAGAAGAGAGGAGGGGCAAACTGCAGGAGAGACTGAGACTGACCCAACTGAAGAGGGAGGTGGATGATTTAGAGCAGTGGATCGCTGAAAGAGAGGTTGTCGCTGGGTCTCACGAACTCGGACAGGACTATGAACATGTGACGGTATGAAATCCACTTTTCCCACTCGTTTCCTGAATCTTCACTACTGGAATTACAAAAAAACTTCATTCGATTGATCATACTTATGTGAATACTGCTTCTTTAAACTTTCTTTAAAGATTATACCATGCAGTCTATAATTCTGGATGTTTTCTCTCAACTCTCCAGATGTTGCGTGATAAGTTCCGGGAGTTTGCACGGGACACCAGCACAATTGGCCAGGAGCGCGTGGATGCAGTGAATGCCCAGGCAGATGAACTTATTGAGTCTGGTCATCCTGAAAATGCCAGTGTGGCTGAGTGGAAAGACGGGCTCAATGAGGCCTGGGCCGATCTGCTCGAGCTCATTGACACGCGCACACAGATGCTTGCCGCCTCGTACGAGCTGCACCGCTTCCATCAGGACGCCCAGGAAGCTCTGGGGCTCATACGGGAGAAGAAGGAAACACTAGCAGGGGCCGAACTTGGACGGGACCTGAACACTGTCCAACACTTGCTTAGACAGCATACGGCATATGAGCATGATGTACAGGCACTGAGTGGGCAGGTGAGAGTCAGTCTTCATTGAACCTTTTCACATATATGTTGTACATTTTCTAATGGCTTGATTTTGATGGTTTGATTGTGTCAAAAGGTTAAACTTCATTCTTTGACTCTTCACTGCAGGTCACACAGGTTCAGGACGATGCTGCACGTCTACAGAAAGCATATGCTGGAGAGAAAGCTGATGATATCCATCGCCACGAGCGTGCAGTCACAGAGGCCTGGGAGGGGCTTCAATCTGCCACTCAAGCCAGACGGCTACTCCTATTGGACACAGTGGAGAAGTTCAGATTCTTAAACATGGTCAGAGACTTAATGCTGTGGATGGAGGGAATCAACTTACAGATCCAGTCACATGACAGCCCAAGGTACATTCAAGCACATATTGTGAAGTCAAAATCAGACACTATAGTTAAAAAGTTTGGGGTCGTTAAGCTTTCTTAAAGTTTTAGAAAGAAGTCTCTTATGGTCACCAAGATTGCATTTGATCAGCAATACAGTAAAAACAGTAATATTGTGATGTATTATTTCAGTATATTACTTAGTGTATATACGGTGGCATTGAGAAGTCATACATTTAAGTATACACAAAAATATAGAAATGCTTCACAACTGTACAAGTTATTAGTAATTAATTTAAGAAGAGATTACATACATGAGTAAGTAAACAACTAATGAGATTCATATATGCCCTGTTTTGTTATAGGGACGTCTCCTCAGCTGGTCTGGTCATCGCCAACCATCAGGATATTAAGTCTGAGATAGAGACCAGAGCGGACAGCTTTACCGCATGCAGTGAAATGGGACGCACCCTCATCAACAACAATCACTATGCTTCAGATGAGGTCTGTCCACACAAATGAACATGCACATGTCTGCTCTGTGCAAGATAACACACACATTTTAATCACTGCATGTTATCCAAGGAAACCCACATGCACCCACTCACACACTGTGAGGTAATTGGATGTCTGTGATTTCTAGATTCAAGAGAAATTGGATCAGCTTCAGGCCAAACGCACTGAAATTAATCAGAAGTGGCAAGAGAAAATGGACCACTTACAGATCGGTGAGTATGTGGGAGGAAGCTTGTTTCTGTGGCTCGTGGCATGCTATTGAGATTTACATCAAAGGTGGCAGTTTTGATATAAATATTATGTTATATACTTTATTCTGAAATTGTTTGACCAGGTGACACATCTTTGCTTTTATGTGATTCCTCATACTTTGTATTCCTCTGTTTCTGTGTGTGTGTGTGTGTGTGTGTGTGTGTGTGTGTGTGTGTGTGTGTGTGTGTGTGTGTGTGA